GACGTCAGCAATGCCAGGGGCAGAGCCAAGCCGCTGCCTACCGTTTAATACTCTCCATTTGAAGAAGGACAGGTCATAGCGCTCGGGAAACACCGTGGAGGGGAGCTCATTCCATAGCCGGATGGTACGTGGCAAAAAAGATCTCTGGAAACGCACTGTGGATGAACGTAGTGGCTCCAGGTGGTATGGATGAACTCTACTCCGGTGGCGGGCGGTGCGATGGTAAAAACGAGATGTCGGTATCATCTCGAACAATTCCTCAGAGCACTCCCCATGGAACATACGGTACAGAATACAGAGGGAACCGAAGTCCCTCCGCAGACCCAGAGGTTCCAAACGATCCGTGAGAATGGGATTATCGACAATCCGAACGGCCTTCCTCTGTAGGGAGTCAAATGGAAGAAGCTGGTATTTGGGAGCCCCGGCTCAGAGATGGGAGCCGTACTCCACGCGAGGCCGGACTTGTGCTTTATAAAGCAAAAGCCTTTGTATGTATGTATATTTATGTTAACCAACCAAGTCCCATAGAGACTCGTTGAAGTTTTGCTCTTTTTTAGATCAAGCTAGCACCGGCACAAGTTTATGAAGCACAATGAAACGAAAGTAATGCGTTCAATTGAATTGTATTTGTCAATTAAAATGTAACTAATTGATCAATTCTTGTTTTGAATAACAAATACATAATTTGTATTAGTCAAATATTTGTTTATTGTAATATTCCACGGTAAAATGTAAGTTAGGAATATTTATTTAGTACATTTGCGCGCAAAGTCTTTAGTTCATTCGTTTGTTATGGCCGAAAGGGCGGAGTCTACGATCCAAATGGCTAAAAGAAATTACCACACACATTGCACACCACAATATTTGTTTTTAATGAATACCGAAACGAATACAAGTAAATGTCGATAGCGTAACATGTGCAATTCAAAGATTAAAGTTGATAAACTCGACAAAGATATCATTATATCTGAAGAAGAAGCTGTTGAGTCATGAATTAATAAAATTGATTCTAAAGAATATAGTAACGAATTGTTCGTTGTGTATATGTTTTGCGCAACACCCGGAGGCAGCGGTCTCGACCCTGAACTCAATTCGGAGGCGTTCTTTTGCAACTGATCGGTGGTCGGGTGGCGCAGTGGACGTCGCCGGTGTAAATGTAAACATTTGCAGGCGCAAGTCGATCACACGAGGCCGCACGGGACGTGCTCTAACACTAGCTATACCATTCATGGTGGCCATCCTTGCTATATGTACACGTCACTTTTATGTTAATTATCACAGTTCCTATAAACCTTCAACGGATTTGGTGTTTATTTTGACACACCACAGCGTCTATTTAATTTTTTGTGTTAGGTTAATAATTGTAGAGATAATGCAATAGTAATTTTCATACAAATAACATGTAGTTTAAAGTGATGCTTATTGATTGAGTTTAGAACATGTATTTTACATGTTTTTTAAAAGAAAATCCTTATTACTAATTCTTATTAATAAGGTTAGATTCATTAAGAATTGAATTAAATGAATAGTTGTATAATTAGGGCTGAAATTGAATGCTTGTAGTTCGGGAGTAAAATGGTCCCCCAAATACGTCGCATAGCACAGAAACAAAAATATCCTTTATTTAAAGATTTTATGCTTTAATATAGGTAATAGAGTTGCACAGATGGAAACAACGAACATACATTTAATAATAATTTATAGCTTAATGATATGCATGTGCATAAAATGTGTTAAATTCAAGGTTTTGGAATATGAAAAAAATCTGATTTTCCAGTTGATGTGCCGTGTCATGTTGTTATGAAATAGGGAAAATGAATACAAAAACAAAACACGCTATTTGATTTGAAATCAATTTCAACATTTTAATTATACTAACATTGTTGATAAACCGTTTAAGTCCTAAATTGCAACAATAGCCTATTGTGTATAAATATAAATACGTTCTGAATTATCTAATAAAGTAGAAAAAACGTAAAATAAAAACAAAGAGATGTCCGGTAAAAACTTTTTTGTTTCGTTTATAATATTTTACAGCTTTCTACTTTTGTTAGAAATTATTAGAGTAAATTGTGCTCTATACCGAGTTAAGTTTGAAATTATCTAACTCAAACATTTAATTAATAACGTACCAACTAGCTATTGTTATATCTCTCTCTGGCTCCTGTATATATAGCGAGGAATGATAATAATAATATGTATATACGAGTTTTAATTCCCTTTATCTTTGGATCATAGAAAAATTAATCAAAATCCGTTCAGCAAATATTGAGTGTTGCTCAGAGGAACAAATTTCGAATCAAAAGATCGCGAAAATAGCTCTCCTCAATTTAAAGAAATAGATCTACTAGAGAATAGATCTAGCACTTCAATCATAGTTATTGTAATAATTACTTAAGTAGTCTAATGTACTTGCTACATGTAAATAAGTGTCCGAGGTAAGCTTTGTAAATTAAAAAAAATATATTTTAAATAATAAACTCGGAATTACAGCAAACAGTCATCAATCAGATTGTGTCATCAGCAACGAATTAATGCAAATAAAGGAATATTAAGTTTCATAGTACTCAAGTTCGCAATAATTTTTTTTAGTGTTATATCCAAAGCTGTTATGTAGATTATTAAAATTGCTAGAAATTGTATTTAAAAATTTAAAAATAATAACAAGTGTTTTATGTTTAATAACATATTTTACAATTATAATATATAGTTGTAGAAAAAAAAGGAATTTTAGAGTATAAGTTAAATAAAATACAAAAAAAACATGAATTGCGTTGAAAGAGACACAGAAATTAGTAAAAGTTGTAAAATACATTGTAGAAATTTTTAGGAACGCCTATCAAAGTGAAATAAGAGAGTAACACTTACATTTTTTTTAAATTATTAAATCTACGCTTGGATTTTGTAACGTTACTTTAAGTTTCACATTCAAGGCCCAAGCTAGGATTTTTAGATTTTTCTTTTGTGTTATGAGAGCCCGAAACACATTCGAAACAAGAACTCCCATACACCGAATACGTTTGACAAAGATACTCTGACCGGGAATCGATTTCAGAACCCGTGTTCATATTGCCAGGGTCATTGAACCACTTCTCTTGAAATTAGATATGTAAAATAACTCGTTTATTGTATACGAGTTCAGTGTTTTTGTCGAGTGCAGTAATTTTCCAACTCAAACGTGCATTGACGTCAATGAGACTATATCGGAAAAAATATATATAACAAAAAATAATAGGTACGTATTTATCTTGGATTCGTATTAGCCTCGTATTGTCATTAGTGCAAATCTTATAATCTTTTATTACATTGAACGTCTTTATTTTTTTAAAACTGTTCTTTTCATTTATGCGGCTGTTTTTTAATATTCCACATCAACGTTTGGGTTTTATTAATGTCCTAGATTAATTAACCTTTGGTATGACAGATTGGTATAACAGGTATTAATTAATCTTCCGCGTCGAAAGGAAATTTTCTTTACTTTATTTAACCTTCAAATGGATTAGATCAATAAGTGACATTTAATTATTCTGTACATAATTATGTTAATATAATTAAAAAGCTTTTAGGGTTAATATAATCTTTTTTATTTTTATTTTTTATTTCGGACGTTAAGAATACTTAACAGTTTTCGTAATCACGGACAACTAACGTGCTATTCGTCGATATTTGTATATTCTGCTAATTACCTTCCTATTTTTTTTTTGTTTCTAAGAAATATTTCTGCGCATTTAGGTTTCTGTAATGAAATGTTCCGCAGTTGTAGTACAACAGTTTAATGTTTTTATGAAATTTTTAACATTTGTGTACATGCAGTATAAAGTGAAGATTGAGCTTGATACGGACGCTATTCGTCACGTAAATGCGACATAATGTATTTTATCAAGTATTTTGTCCATCGGAGTTTTGCTAATGTTCACTACGTTCCGTACGTGGTCGTGGTTGTCGAGGTAGCGTCTTAGCCCGCTAGGGAGGCATGTTAATCTCATGTCATGTCACTGGCCAGGCGTAGTGACCTTACGTCACGCGGCCACCGCTTTGCGCTGTAACACGCGTTGGGAATACTAACGCCACCAGAACGCCTTGGTGAATCCTTGGCTTCAAAACCGAGCTCCTTTCTTAGTGGAATGTTGCGTCTATTAATGATGTTTAAACTAACTACTCGCAGCTCTGTTTCACTGTTACTGTACTAATGAGTAGTAAATGTATAAATCATCGACATTTATATGTGACATTTAAAACCCGACCAATTATTATTAAATTAAAAAATACAATCAGTCCGTCGATTAGTATAGTCCAATGACTTGTTTCAGAATATCATAAATGTCTTATTTATAATGTGACGATAACTGTGTTTTAGGAATTTGGTTTCATTAAATTAACATCGTTTGATCTCTGTAACCTTTGATCGGGCCAGTCTCATCATATTAGCGAGATGTTCATGATTATCGTTTCGCAGAGACGTTAGATTATTAGATCGTCACGAAGTACACATTCCTGGTGCTGACGATTGTTTTACATGACTGCAGAGCCTACAATAGAGGATGGTTATAGCCTTGGTAGACTGTTAATCAACACAGTAACTACCGTATGATTACTAATTATTTAAGACCGAATTCCTTGGTTGTTAGACGTTTTGTATTAGAAAATATAGTTTATTATTTTTTTGTCCAGTTTATTTTATATGTACAATATGGAATATGAACATTAGGAAAATATTTTATTATTATATAAAAATTACCTTAGTTATACTTGTTATTCATTACCATAGTAAGAGATCGTCTCTGAGAAATTTAGTAGCAATAAATATTAATTATATAGTGTCTATGAGCTCCAGTAACCACTTAAAACTACCGGGCTGCGGGTTGGTCTAACCAATTAAAGCAAAATACATTTTGAATTATGTGAAATTGGAAAATCTGAATGATGGTATTAAAACTCTTGTACATCTCGTCACGTGACTCGTCCAAGTTTTAAATAATTAATGAAATACCAAAACTCACCTGCGCAGTTTAATTTGTACAGGCGATGGATCCTTTACCAGAATCGTAGTTGCCGAGAACGAGAACACATTCACTACCGGAGGATGTACCTAGTGGTGCTCTTTGCCACTGCGAGGCGAGTGAGGGCGCTAGGGTTGCGTACGCGTTAGCTAGCTACGGGCAGCGCTTGCACACCGCGCGCAGGTGACTTCTGTACTGGCGGCGCGCGCTGTTCCGCGCTCTTTTATCATATCGCCACTTCACGCACCTTCAACTTGACTTCTCCTCTGTTCGCTTCAATATTGTTATTTCAGGATCACTTTTTAAGACTATACTACGATTTTAAGTTCACAAAATAAGTTCGGAGACCTTGACTTCGACTGTCAGTTTACACATTTATCTGAACTAGAGGTCCCGCAGTAGTCGAAATTCGACTATAAATAATTAATTGGAATTGTAAGTTTGTATACTATTATGATTGTATTTTATACTTCTATAATCACAAATTTCGCCAAGACTACACTATAAAAAATATAAACAAAGACAAACAATAAATTAATATATTCTCAATTTGACAACAAACGTCACGAACAAAAGTTTGACAATAAATAGTATGCATGCGTGTGTGCGTCAAATACATGGTATATAGTGTATGTAATGTTTTCTTTATTGAATTAATGTATCTTTTATGCATTATTAAAAAAAAAAATAGCATTGTGCGCTTCTTCTCTATATTCTCTATAAGTGTGGAAAATTTCATACTCCTCCGTTCGCGCAATTTCCGTAAAAAGGGATACAAAGTTTTTGATTCACGTATTAATATATAGAGATAAATAATAATTACAAGAATCTGCTTTTAATAATTAGTTTACAGTTCATATTAATAGGCTAAATAATTACTATAAAATTATATTTAACACTATTAATGTTTTTTTTTCAACTTGTTTAAATAACGAAAACAAAAATACCTACATACAAAGATCACTTAGTTCCTTTTCTCTCCTGACTAGGCGCGTCGACACCTCCGCCTCCGCCATTCGCCCAATCACGATGTACGACCAGCCCATACCGTGAGCCCCGAAGGTCAAATACTTAGGCGTCACCCTCGACAGAAGGATGACATTCCGCCCCCATATAAAGACGATACGTGACCGTGCCGCCTTCATACTAGGACGTCTCTACCCGATGATATGCAGGCGAAGTAAAATGTCCCTCAGAAATAAGATGACACTCTACAAAACTTGCATACACCCCGTCATGACCTATGCAAGTGTAGTAGTCGCTCACGCGGCTCGCACTCACTTAAAATCATTCCAAATTATTCAATCCCGTTTTTGCAGGATAGCCGTCGGAGCCCCGTGGTTCGTCAGGAACGTCGACCTCCATGACGACCTGGACTTAGAGTCCATCAGTAAGTATATGCAGTCGGCGTCGATGCGCCACTTCGATAAAGCGGCACGACACGAGAACCCTCTCATCGTGGCCGCCGGTAACTACATTCCCGATCCTGCGGAAAGAATGGAAAGCAGTCGACGTCGCCCCAAACATGTCATCTCGGATCCTCCCGATCCACTAACGGTGCTTCTAGGTACTTCAAGCACCGGTCACCGTTCTTGTCGAACCCGTCGCTTGCGACGAAGGGCTCGACGAGTAAATTAACCCTCAGACATAGCCCAGGTTTGAGCCCCGTGAGCTCACCTACTAGTTAAGGTTACGCTGAAATAGCCTCTCAAGGCTATCAGCTTAGGTAGGAAAAAAAAAGTTCCTTTTGTTTTATGTTTTCAAAGTGTCTTACAGCATTACAGTAGTTAAGTGGCTTTGAAATTATTTTTTTCGTTTCATAAAATTATCATGAAAAATTATTAATATAATATTATTGTAGGTTAGTGTGGATCATAATACTTTTTAAAGTTTATTAAGCGAATACGAACACACTGTCCGCTTGATAGTGAATTTTCCGTATTCACCAGTGAATAATCATTTTGCACTAGAAGAACATAGTACATTAGCATAGCTTATAATTTGCTGTAGATAGCAATCTGGAAATCACATGGAGGTGAATTAATTACAGACTCAGTTAATACGTCACAAAACATATACGGAAACGCAAGCGGACGAATGGATGAGCACAGCGATTTAAAAACGTACCAATGATTAGAAATACGGCCTCATTATATTATTAATAATTACGTCGTGTAACTAATCCTAGGCGAGAATGTCTTGTTTTCTGATACCGTGTTTTATTTCTTAAGACAATATTGGCAGCAGACTCCAATGAAATAATATAATGAGGTGGAACTATTCAGTTTGTTAAATCACGTTTATGAATGAGGCCTATGCGGATAACTATTATTATTATAGTCATTATAAACATTTTTCAGGGAAATTCTCAGTACGTCCGAAACATCACGAAGGGCTTAAAATAAAAAATCAGTTCCTATTGCGTTTTAATGACGCTACTACAAACTTAATAATTGTTAAAAATCTTAAACCTTCCAAATTTATCGTGCTCAAGGTAAGATCTGCCCCCGTGGTACACGTGGTTGTGTAAACAAACACAAACAAACACACCAAGCCCGAGAATACAAATCAAGAGAATATGTACTATACAAAATACCTTATTATTTAATTATATTTTCTTTGTTGTACACAAAAAAAGGAAATATATGACGAAAAATGTACAAAACCACATAACCACGATATAATGAAATGTAAAAAAATAAAAGAATAACATATAATATGTAAATATTTAAAATGAATATACATACTACGACGATATAACAATTCAAAATACAACACAGCACCAGTAGCCAAGGTCACTAACCATGAGACCAACGAGCCGATCAAAGAGTTGTGGATAGGCTTTTTTTCCTATTCGCTGATAGCTATTCGTAAGAGCTACCCCGCACGGGTTGGTGAGCTCACGGGTTCAACCTGAGAGAATTTTCTAACACTAGTCCTAGTAGTGTTTTGCAGAATCTACCACCAGATCAGAATCGTGGCCCACTGAGAAGATCCGGCGAGAAGCTCAGTGGGCAATGTCTATGAGTTAGTTCGCTCACCGAACTTTTCGTCGAAATCGACGAGGAGGACAGTGATCGGTGCTTGAGAGGCCTAAAAATAGCGAGAGTGAATACGGGGGAACGGACAAGATATGTTTCGGGTGACGGTGGCTTTGCGTTGCCCCGTAGCGGTCGGATAAGTAATTAGCAGCTGCCACGATTAGAGGGTTTTTGTGTCGCGCCGCTTTATCGAAGTAGTGTTCTGACGCTTCCTTAAGATACTTACGTATCGGTACTAAATTTAGGTCGTCGTGAAGATCTACATTCCTCCCATACCACGGTGTTCTGACGGGTATCCTGCCGAAACGGGATTGGATGACCTGGAGAGAGTTAATGTGTGCACGGGCCGCGAGAGCGAATACTATACTTGCATAGGTCATGACAGAACGTATTCAAGTTTGGTAGAGTGTCACTTTGTTATGAAGGGACAATTTACTTCGCTTGCAGATCATGGGGTAGAGTCTACCGAGTAGGAATGCGGCTCGGTAGTATCCTATATAGCACATAAGATCCAAGATATAAACAATCGTTATTCGTAATTTGATTCAGATTCATTTGAGCATTTTTGCGGAACTGAGTAGGTAACAAACATACAAACTTTCGCATTTATAATATAACTATAGAAGATTAAAATAAAAATTTAATAGTAGTAAAACTTCTAGAAAACTTTTTGATTGTAGTCTTTTCTTGGTAGCGTTGTGAACAAGTTATTGTTTTAACCGCATATAATATATGACTTGATGATATATGATAATATATGACTTCATAATGATATTTGTAGCGTCTAGCGGTTTCGTCCGCGTTACTTTTTTTTATTCGGTATTTAAGATGTTTCGAATACATTACAGTTCTTGTGGAACCTGACGCTTATTCGTTCCTCGAATAATTTGCAAACTATGATTTGAAATAAATAAAAAATAGCTTAGCGTTTCTTTGTACACAGAAAGTATCTTGTAGTAAGTTAACTACCAGTATCTTGTTAGATGAACATCAATCACAATTTTTTGTATCTATTGTTTTATTATTACACAGGTCACTTATTTGTCGTTTGTTTGTCTTTGATACAGAGAGTTCAAGGCATTTGTGGCACTCAACATAATAATATGGGGATGAACTTCAGCATGTGAGGTATGTGTTTACGTCATAAGCGAGAATAATTTGAAATTCCCCAATCGTGAGCTTGTTTTTGTCTCTAATTTTTTTAAACCGGTTAGAATATGGTAAAATAAATAATTAGACGTGAGATACACTTAAAGACCTATGTATTTTTTTGTATTAAATTAATTAGACACACTACTAAGCCTGCTTTGAAAAGTATAATATAGATGCAGTATGTACATTATTTCTAAATGAAATTAATATTCATTGTTAATCTAAGCGGTAATCGGGTGAGGTTTATATATCAACTCGAGGTACTGAAACTAGAATGATTTAGTCTAAGAAAGAAGTAGTGGTAATTATTAATATATTTTTCTCTCTCTACCTTCCAAGTTACATTATTTAGTGCTAATAGTTGTCGAATAAAATGGTTCTAACATGTGGCTAGATTTATATGTAGACCCTAAAATCGTTTCGTTTTATTTAAATTTTTCACTTCAACTCGAGTTACGAGATATGATTTTCATTCCCAAAGAAAAGTGATTTTCTTACTGAACGTATTTTTTTAAAACTCGTTTTTGCTATAATGATCAATGTTAGTATGAATAAGTCGGACAATTCAATACCTACAAATACGTATCATAAATTAGGCAGTATGAAGTCATTTAAAGGATAAAACACCCGAGATACTCGTTTATCAAACAATGCGATTATATCGGTGTTCAAATCAGGCAGGCAAGTACCAAGTTTTCTAAAGAAATAAGTATATGATACTTTATATAAGTATATATTTTATTACATAATTTATGTAATAAAAACACAATAGAAGAACATAATAAATAAAATTCGAACCGCCAAATTTTGAATAGCTGTTGGCAAGGTGCAATGGACACACACACGTGTACGTACAATAATGCAATGGTTTGGAAAGGTTGGAAAGGAAATAGCCGTTATACGATACGATTGAGGCTTCGACCTCACGTCTCAAGGGGGTGGAGGCAGTTACGTTGTGATATCTATGGGCTCCCGTAATCGTACAAACAAGGCTGTGAGCTGGTTTACCAAACAAAAAATGGGTAGG